CTAAAGGCAGTGCAGCAGGGCGACTAAGAGTAGACTAGTATTATCTAAGGCATCTGCGCGAAGGGCTGATCTATCCTACCCTTCATTATCTTCTCTAGCAAGCACTACCTCTCTGCCTAGTATAAGGAGCCTAGTATACCTAATAACTAGGTTCTTAATGTCTCTAACAATAGCTAGACTAACAATAAGCTTAGAGTTAAGTAGTTAAAGCACTTTAATAAGCACACAAAGGCGCACACTGTTAGTAGCTATTAGCTGCTTATTCTAGACAGCCACAAGAGCCACAACTTAGTTGAATTCCACTAGTACTACAAGGAACACAAGATTATTACCCTGTGTATGCCTCCACACTTGTTGCACCTACTGCAGCCACTTGACGTAGGCTGTTTTGCCCTGTTGAAAAAGGCCTATAGCTGCCAAGCCAAGCAGCTAATGCGCAGCAAGATTACTTGCATCACCAAACTTGAGTTCTTGCTGTGCTTTAAAGCGGCTTTTGACGCCTTAATTATAGAGAGCAACATCTAGGGAGGATTTAGAGGTGCTGGCCTAGTCCTACTTAACCTAGAGGCTGTGCTATTAAAGCTTAAAGTACAGCTACGCACACTAACACTACCTACTATAGACAATAGTATATAGGAGTCTAAAATACTAAGTAACACCCTAGAATTTAGGTCTTAATTAAAGCTAATTTAAGAGAGGATTTAGAGACACGCTAAGAGCTTGCTAATATCTATAGTTAACGCTCTTAATTAGCTCACTAAAGGCGCAGAGCTAATAGCGCATTTACTAGTTTTAGTGCGTAACTAGGTTGCTGACCTACAGGCAGCTAATAAGGCTGCTACATGTTGTAAATCACACAAAAGGAAGCAATTACAGCAAGAGGGGACTCTAGTCTTTGCTAAGGGAGTGTGGCTAACTACTCTAAAGGATTTTAAGGCCTATAGTAATAGGAAGAAGGCAAAGAAGAGGTTGCGTGTTAATAGGAGCACTTAGTCTCTAAGGCGCTGTGGCATATGTAGCAAGGCAGGGCACAACACGCAAACATGTAGTAAAGATACATAGAGTACTATAGACTAGTTTAGTATACTGTGTAGTATAATATATTATAGTTGTGTGCTGTAATGTTGCAAAGTAGGTGCAGTATTGGTGTGGTCTTGGCAAAAGTGGCCAGCTCGCTTGGGTGGCCAGCTCGCTTGTGGAGTACGTTAGTTATGTCTAGTTAAAACATAATATTGCGAAGGCATTTAGAGACCTACTAATAAGGTACGTTCAACGCTCTAGCAGCGCTGCAGATACTGCAAAATTAGCTAGCGTAGAAGGCCTAGATAGCAAGGATAACTCTGCCTTCTCTAGTAGTATTCTA